CTTTGAATTTTTCAATAGAAAAGTTATTAATGAACAAGATAAAAATGACTCACTTGTAAAAAAAGGATATGATTTTCAATCTATGGTTTATGTGTTCAGTGACTGAAATTTAAGTATCTCAGTGTATGTGTTTGTATCTAACGTAATATATAAATGATAACAAAAGAAAAGGGAGAAGATAAGATCATAAAACTGGCTAAAAGAAAGATTAAAATTAGAGCAGAAAAAGACAATTGTTCAATGAAAGATATAGAAGCCTTCCATACTGTCCAGACAAAAAGAATAACTTGAATGCTGTAAAACAAAATATGGGGGAAGAGAGGATTAATGAATGCAGAAACCTGTTTTATTAATTCAAATAGGATATTTTGGGTGAATGGCTTCTTATTCTTAGGACATGAAAGCCAAGTTTGAGTCCTGGTTCTGAAGGGCATATTGGTTGCTTTAAAGTTTTGGCATGTATGGATAAAGCTGCTAAAAACATCCATGTGCAGATTTTTGAGTGGACGTAAATTTTTGGTTCCTTTGGGTAAATAGTAAGTAGTGTGATTGCTGAATTGTACGGTGAGAGTATGTTTAGTTTTATCGTTTAATAAGAAGTCACCAAACTGTCTTCTTAAGTGTTCTAAAGTGGCTGTACCATTTTGTGTTCCCACACCAATGTGTGAGAGTTCTTGTTCCACATCCTCACTAGCCTTTGGTGGTGTCAGTGTTCCAGATTTTGGCTAGTCTTGTAAGTATGAGGTGATATCTTGCTGTTTGATGCTTTTTAAAGTTTATTTACTTATTTGAGGGGGAGAGGGGGCAGAGGGAGAGAGGGAGAGAGTCCCAAGCAGGCTCTGTGATGCCAGCGCAGAGCCTGATGCAGGGCTTGGTCTCAGAAACGGTGAGATCGTGACCTGAGAGCCAAAATCAAGAGTCAGGTGCTTATTAACCAACTGAGCCACCCAGGTCCTCCAGGAGTTTTGTAGTTCTATGTGTTACATTTAGGTCTGTTATCTAGTTTTAGCTAATTTTTGTGAAGGCTGTAGGGTCCATGTCTTTTTTTTTGCACGTGAATGTCCAGATATTCGAGCACCATTTATCGAAAAGACTCTCTTTGCTTCATTTTATTGCCTCTGCTTCTTTGTTAAATATCAGTTAATTATATCTATGTGAGTCTATTTCTGACCTGTCTACTCTGTTCCATTGCTCTATTTGTCTGTTCTTTCACCAATACCACACTGTTTTGATTACTGGAGATTTATGATAAGTCTTAAAGTTGAGTAGTGCCAGTCCTCTAACTGTGTCGAACGTGTTTGAAATTTGTTCAATATTATGTTGGCTATTCTGAGTCTTTTGCCTTTCCATATAAACTTTAGAATAAGTTTGTCAATATCCCCAAAATAACTTTCTGAGATTTTTTTTTAATAGGATTGCATTGAACCTACAGACCAAATTGGCAGGACTGACATCTTGTTACTGTCAAGTCTTCCTGTTCATGGACATGGAATATTTCTCCATTTACTTAGTTCTTTGGTTTTGTTCATCAAATCAATTTTGTAGATTTCCTCATATAGATTGTGTACATACTTTATTAGATTTATACCTAATTATTTTACTTTGGGCGTGCTAATGTAAATGGTGTTATCTTTTAAATTCCAAATTTTACTTATTCATTGCTGGTATATGGGAAGTGATTGACTTTTACATATAACCCTTGTATCCTGCAACGTTGATATAATCCCTTATTAGTTCCAGGAGTGGTTTTTTGTTTGTTTGTTTGTTTGGTTGGTTGGTTGGTTGGTTGATTTTTGTGGATTCTTTCACATTTGCTATAGAGACAATCGTGCCGTCTACAAAGACAGTTTTTTTTTTCTTCCTTCCCAATCTGTATACCGTTTATTTCCTTTTCCTGCCTTATTGCAGTAGCTACATCCTTTAGTGAAATGTTGAAAAGGAGTGGTGAGAAGGGACATCCTTGCCTTGTGGGAAAGGCACAACACAGTATGTTGGAGTAGCCTTTCTCTGACATCTCTTTTACCCTGAAGGTATTCATAAATTATTGGACTTTGCTACTGAAGTTTAACGATAATCATATCTAAGCAGTTTCATCAAGATCACTGAAATGGCAACCACTTGAAATTCTGAATTTCTTACAAGCCTAATGAAAATCAATCTAAAAATAGAAAGCTATATGTTTCTCGCCATTAAGTATGATATTAGCAATAAATGTTTTAGATGTTCTTTGACAAGTTGAGAAAGTTTCCCTGTATTCCTAGTGTATTGAGAATTTTTTTTTAATCATGACTGGATGTTGTATTTTTGTTAAATTTTTTTTTTTGCACCTACTGATATGTTCATGTGATTTTTTTCTTTTAGTTTTTTGATGTGATACATGATATTAATTGACTTTTGAATGCTGAACCAGCCTTTTATATTTGGGATAAATCACACTTGGTGGTTGTATGATTCTTTTCATACATTGCTGAATTAGATTTGCTAATATTTTGTTGAGAAATTTTGTATCTCTGTCTGTGCGAAATAATGATTTGTAGTTTCTTGTAATTTTTGCACAATTTTGGTGTTAGGGCAATAATGGTCTCATAGAATGTTAGTGAATTCTGCTCTAACTTTTATTTATTTTCTTCTGCTTACTTTGAGTTTAATTTGCTCTTCTTTTTCTAGTTTCCTAAGGCAGAAACTTCTATTATTGATTTTAGATCATTCTTCTTCTCTAATATATGCTTTTGATACTCTACATTTCCCTCTAAGTACTGTTTTCATTGCATTCTATAAATTTTCATAAGTTGTGTTTTCATTTTCATTTATCTCAAACTATTTTTAAATTTCTTTTGAGATTTTTTTTCTCTGGCCCTGTGTTATTTGGAAGTGTGATGTTTAATCTCCACAGTGATCTGTCATTGATTTCTAGTTTAATTCCATTGTGGTCTAAGAGTAGACAATGTATGTGTATCTTTTCTTTTTTTTTTCAGTTTATTTATTTTGAGAGAGAGAGAGAGAGAGAGAGAGAAAGCACGAGTGGGGGAGGAGCAGAGAGAGGAGAGAGTGAGAATCCCAAGCAGGCTCCACACCAGCAATGCAGAGCCCAGTGCGAGGCTTGAACTCACAAACTGTGAAATCATGACTAGAGCCAAAGTCAGACACTTAACCAACTAAGCTACCCAGGTGCTCCAATTTCTATTCTTTTAAATGTTTAAAGGTATATAGTATGGCACAGAATCTTAGTGAATCTTCCATAGGACCTTGATAAGAATGTATATTTGGGGCACCTGAGTGGCTCAGTCGGTTGAGCATCCGACTTCGGCTCAGGTCATGATCTCAAGGCTCGTGAGTTTGAGCCCCGTGTCGGGCTCTGGGCTGACGGCTCAGATCCTGGAGCCTGCTTCAGATTCTGGGTCTCTCTCCCTCTCTGCCCCTCTCCCACTCATGCTGTCTCTCTCTTGTCTCTCAAAAATAAAAAGAAACATTAAAAAAATTTTTTTAAAAAGGAATGTGTGGGGCGCCTGGGTGGCGCAGTCGGTTAAGCGTCTGACTTCAGCCAGGTCACGATCTCGCGGTCCCCGAGTTCGAGCCCCGCGTCAGGCTCTGGGCTGATGGCTCGGAGCCTGGAGCCTGTTTCCGATTCTGTGTCTCCCTCTCTCTCTGCCCCTCCCCCGTTCATGCTCTGTCTCTCTCTGTCCCAAAAATAAATAAATGTTGAAAAAGAAAAAATTAAAAAAAAAAAAAAAAGGAATGTGTATTCTGCTGTTGTTGGTTAGAGTGGTCTGTAGATGTCAATTATATTCCATTGATTGATATCAACTATGTCCTTTCAGATTCTTTCTGCCTGCTGGATCTGTCAATTTCCAATACAGGGGTGTTGAAGTCTCCAACTACGATAATGGGCTTACCTATTTCTCCTTGAAACCTGTCCGTTTTTGTGTCATGTAATTTGACGCTCTGTTGCTAGGCACACGCGCATTACAGATTGTTATGTCTTCTTGGAAAATTCGCTCCTTTATCATTATGTAATGCCTTCTCTCTACGTGATAACTTTTCTTGCTTTGAAGGCTGCTCTCTGAAACGCAGACAGCCACTCCCGGTTTCTTTTCCTAATTCTGCTTTTAGTATTGTGAGTGTGCTGTTAGTACTGTTAGGACCAATCCAACGCTGAGAGATCAGGGCCCATTTGAAGTCTTTCCATCGTGTTCTCATTTATATGGCATCTTGATTTCTTTTTTTTTTTTTCAACGTTTATTTATTTTTGGGACAGAGAGAGACAGAGCATGAACGGGGGAGGGGCAGAGAGAGAGGGAGACACAGAATCGGAAACAGGCTCCAGGCTCTGAGCCATGAGCCCAGAGCCTGACGCGGGGCTCGAACTCACGGACCGCGAGATCGTGACCTGGCTGAAGTCGGACGCTTAACCGACTGCGCCACCCAGGCGCCCCGGCATCTTGATTTTAAAATGAGTATCGACCCCAGAAGAATCCGGGAGTTTTTGTTCTTCAATTCAAAAGGTAGAGTGCAAGTCCGTCCTATATAAACAGCAGTATTCACTTCAGCATCACCCACCCTTCAAATGGATCCCTTCCTCAGAGCGGCCTCTCTGCAGACGGACTGTATTCACATTTTGACTTTTCTCATTGTATGTATGGGTTTGGATGATTTCAGTTAGAACTGATACTTTCTCCCATCCCAATTGCTGTCATTCTTCCTTTCCTTCAGCCCGAAGTGTGGGTATTATTGGCGGAAGAGAACAGGCTTCTGGCTTCTTCGCTAGCAGGAGGCACGGGCCTGAGGCCTTTCTGAAACGCGCACAACCGTTCTGGCTTTCTTGAGTCTTGAGAGACCTTTCAGCCCTTGTTATTCCATTTGAGCGAGCATACCACGTTTCTAATGGGTGTTTCCGTTTTACTTCAGTGCACCAGGGACAAAGGGGCTGGGGGAAATAACACAGCCTCCTGTAAAACCGTCCTGATCTGTGCCTGCTTTCTGTCCCCCTCCTGTGTCCCTAGGTAAGTGTGAGATCGGCTGGGCGTACTATTGCACGGGAGCGGGTGCTGCTTCTGCCATGCTGCTGTGCACATGGCTGGCCTGCTTCTCGGGCAAGAAACAGAAGCAGTACCCCTACTGAGACGGAGCCACCAAGCGCAAAGAGAGGAGAAGACAGGCCGAAGGGGCCCGGAGAGACTGAAATGTCCAGCTACCTTCGAAAGGTGGAGTAGTGGTTCTCATCCATACAGTGCTTATGAAATGAAACCCAGTGGAATGATTAACATTATGTGACGTCAAAGGGTGGTGCAAGATTTGCAAAAGAAACGGAGAACCTGGAATCACACAGAAAAATGGACCAAAGGCTAAAAATATTGCAGGGTGTTGAGTGTTTCTATTCCACAGAGTATCATTAATGTAGATCACATACACACACAGAACAAACCTATATATGCAAACAAGAGTTTGGGTGGGGTTTTTTTTTTTTGTTTTGGGTTTTTTTTTTTTTTTTTTTTTTTTGGTAAGATGAGGACTCAGAGAATCAAAAGGGCTAGTAGAAACAGTATTGTGTTGGGAAGCAGGGTAACCCACAGACGTTCCCTGTAGGTCATGGCGCTTCTGAAAGCACACACAGACATACACATCCACACACACACCCACGCCCAAACCTACACATTGTTGCACAGACTGTATGGGAGGTTGAGTCGTGCATTACTCCTCTGTTTCCTTTTTAATACACCCTTAAAATGCAGTATTATCACTTTATAAAGCATACACGAAACCTAATAAATGGACCAATAAGCCACTCTATCAGTATTTTATATATCCTGCATAACCTCTTTGTGCCCTCAACCTGTTTTCAGTGTTTATACAGACCTTTAGAGTTAAGCCTTTGTATTTCAATATTATTCAAAAATATGCAAGATTTCTTTGTCTGAGTAGCTTCTGCAATGATGTTCTTATGAAGTAAAGGGGCAACTTCCTATCCACTGTAGGAGAGAATTCAGTTGAAGGCATGAGCATAATGAGAGACATTTTCCAGTCATTAGATCTTGTTTTCTTTTGTCCATTATTGTACTGTGCTGTACCACGTTTATTTCAATATTCATTTTGTATAAAAAAATTTTTAAGTGCTATTTTGTTGGTATTTGGAAAACTCTGTGAATAAATTCTCTTTGATCAATAGTTAAATGAGTCATGGAGTGTTCATGCAGTTACTGAGTTTGCTTCTGTAATTTTCTAAATATAGCCTTTCAACTCCAACAGTCCCATAAATTTTCCTTTTCCTTCTAAGGCCTCCCGTTCGTTCTCTCACTAATCACCCAACCGGGCATTGTTCTAGGCACACAGCATATTAAAGGTGACTAAGGGTTCCTGCTTTCCACTTAAATTTGTGCAGCTAGAATCCTAACTACACTTTAAATCACGACCAAATTCTCACGAGAGAAGACTTTCAAGTCTATTTTGGATTGACTTTGAGAACATGGACAGTATTTGGCCATGGTTTAGAGCAACGAGAGCCAGGCGGGAGGTCTGGGCCACCAGGCTCCAGGATGACGTCAGAGTCATGACAGGCAGCCTGTGACTTGCTGCTACTCCACCTTCAACACGGTGCTGTGTTTCTTTGGTACCTCTGTGCCGGGGACAGTTTTACACCACTCCCTTTTAGCGTTCTTGGCCATTTGAGACGATGAGGTCACGTGTCTGCTCTCAGCATAAAGCCTTGACTAAAGAGAAGGATATGGACCTTTTCGTCACCCCACAACAGAACCAACACTTTCAGGAGTAAAGATTGCATCCTAGATCATGGATATATTATTTTCTTAGGCAACACCAAATTATTGCCTCAAACCCTTAAAACTTCAGTTTCAATTAGTGTCTCAATTGTATATTTTTTGAATTGGGGAACTGAGCATTCCCGTTGTCTATAACTATATTTTCTGTTCTTTCTATACATATTTGTCAATTTCACTTGAATGTCTGAATGTCTCACTTGCTTCTGGTTACTTTTAATCATCCAGCGGATTCCGGCTGCCTTGGAAGAACAATGCAAGAATCAGGCCAATAAAATTCCGGACTTTCTGAGGCTTTGTTGCTATGGAAAAAGTCATTCTGCTCTCAAATGCTTAATTCATAATGGGCTGAATATCCTCTGATTGTGTCTCATTGTCCACTGAGCAGGGGCTTCTCCACTTTGCGGTTTCCTGAGGAGAAGAGATTGCACTTTGCTTCCTCAATGAGCCCATCATTTCCATTATTGCTGGTGTTTTTCAAATGTTCTTAACCACACCTTCCTGTCAGAATAGAATTATGACCTCTTAGCTCCCGTTGTCAAGTGGGAGTTCTCTATGGAATTCATTAAGGTTATTTCGTGGACAGATTTAATGATGACATTGTCATTTTTACGTGATCCGTGTGATTTCAGACATCAGTGGACCTCGCTAAAGTCAAAAGCTGACACTCCAACAGGATGAAGTCAAAAGGCAAACCCTTACATCTCAAGTTCTAACTAGTCATATGTGTTTCTGGTTCAAGATGTCCCAGCGTTTCATGAGGAGCATCAAATTTATTAAGAATTGGGGCGCCTGGGTGGCTCAGTCGGTTAAGCGTCCGACTTCAGCTCAGGTCATGATCTCACAGTCCATGAGTTCCAGCCCCGCGTCGGGCTCTGGGCTGATGGCTCAGAGCCTGGAGCCTGCTTCCAGTTCTGTGTCTCCCTCTCTCTCTGCCCCTCCCCCGTTCATGCTCTGTCTCTCTCTGTCTCAAAAATAAATAAACGTTAAAAAAATATTTAAAAAAAAATTTATTAAGAATTACCAAAAGATCACATATACTTCTTTTCAAAAACAATCAGGATTCATGAAATAATCATAACAGCAACAATAATAAAACCTGCAACAAGTGTATATTCACAGGCTGTTCACTGATGTACACTTAAGGGGCAAACCCTCCATTTTCACAACCTCATGAAGCTTCCCTTGCTTGTACAGGCTTGTGAGGTAAGTGGGGAGTTTCCCTTGTTTTCAGAAAATGACATGCAAAAAAAGTTACTGGATGAAATTGAACCAACTCTTCCAATTTTCAACACATTCATTTGTGCATTTGGGGTAATAAATAGTTTCTGCGCACCTGCTACTCGCTAGGTTTCCTGCTGGATGTAAAGCACTCCATGCAACGTGTCTCCCACTCTCGAGTTGGCCCCAAGCTTATGGGGGAAAAGGAAGAGGAAAATCAGTGATTATCATATCCTGGGATGTCAAATGATGCTCACGACAAGGAGGAAGTTCCTCCCAAGCAAAGAATCTTGCACAGACAAATTAAAAAAGCATAGGAAAAGAAAGGTGATAAATTATAGTTGTCTGCTCATCAAAAGACATCATTAAGAAAATGAAAGGGAGACTGGAAGTTGTGTGTCTGGAAAATGAATAATAAAAAAAAATGAACCACGCATATTTTTAAGCGGGTCAAAAATTGAACGGGATATATCACAAAAGAGGATATATAAATGCCAATAGTCATTTGAAAAGGTGCTCAACATCATTAGTGAAGAAGAAAATGCAACTTAGAGCCACCGTGAAACACCACTTAACATACACTAGGATGACCAAAATGTTAACGACGCCGAACATTACCAAGCACAGAGATGTATGGTTGGAAGGCCATTAGGCAGTTAACTTATTAAGCTAAACAAACTCATTCCCCTCTATGTATTTATGCCCCCCCAAAAAAATCTGTGTCCCCAAAAAGATTGTAAAAAAAATGGTATGTAATAATCCCGAACTGGAAACAGCTCAGATGTCTGCCAATCCATAAAGAAAACGTGGTATATTTACATAGTGGAATACTACTCCACAATTTAAAAAAAAAGGAATTTCTGGTATACATAATGATGCAGAAGAATCTCAGATGCTATGTTGAACAAAAGAAGCCCGACACACAGGCGACGCTAATATACAGTGATAGAAATCAGAGCAGTGATTAACCTGAAGGCATTAACTAGTGATGACACAGGGGACTTCCTGGGGTGATGGAAATGCCCTATGTGTTGATTAGGGTGGTGGTTACACAGATGTATACATTTTCCAAACTCCATCCATATGTGCTGTTAAAGTGTGTACTTTATCATATGCTAATCATACCTTGATAAAAAAAAAAAAAGGTGGGGGGGAGTCCTTGGAGAGCACTGCCTCATGGGGCTGCAGGGAGGGTGCGTTGGGGCACAGTGAGAAAAGAGGGTAGACGTGAGGTGGAAAGGGCAAGAAGGGCTTTGTCAGCCACGCTGAGGAGATTATAACTGATCCTGGAGGCAGGAGAAGCATTTGACATGGTAGATGTGGGATGTGGCATGACTACCTGCGTGTTTTAGAACGATCCCTAGACCCACTATGGAGATGAGTTAGCAGGCGGCACAGGTGGCCAGGGGAATAGTACAACGTGTTCCTCTTACCCACAAAGAGTTTTGAGCCCTTCCTATGGTCTAAGTGCTTAGGAAAAGGAGGTGAACAAATAGGCTGATGCCATCAGGTGAAAACCGAAATGGGCAAAACGGGTGGAGGTGGGCAGACAGGACAGACCAGAGAGAACAGGAGGAGAGAATCAAGAGATCCTGGGATGTAGGAAGTGGCACGGATGAGAGCAGAGCCGGCCCTGGTCTCGCACACAGACACGATATGAAACAAGAGCATCACGGTAATGAAGGACATCCCATGGGGTGTCCAGTTGGAGATGCCTCATGGGTAGTTCAAAATTAAGGCCTTGGGCTCAGGAGAAATTTGGGCTCTGGAAATAGCAGATACGGGTAATATCAGTGACTCTGCAGGCATTAATAAGAAGTGGATGCAGGAATGTTTTCACGATATTTAAAGCAGAAGCACGTCAGTTGGCATTTCCTTCTGCATGAGGTTCTTTTGTAGTGTATTGTCTTAACCATAGTGTACCGTGAAATATTTTCGGAGTATCTTTCACGTTTAAACACATTTAGCAGCATGCGATAGTTACATCATCAGTGTTGCTACAGAGACAGTCTGTAGCAAGGACCTTCTTTGCTGCCAGTTATCATAGGCTGTTTGAAGTTAGAAAACTGAATAGCGACACCGAATACTGTGGAAATGCACTTTGCTCAGTAACACTTGCGTTGTTGCA